GTTTGTAGAAGGATTGAAATCCAAAATGGGCATGGATAAGAAGATATGGAGTCATAAAGTGAAGTTTGAGAGTTGGTTTTGAAGGATTTTGGAGGGGAAAACTTTCTATTTATCCACCTAAAACCTTAAGGTGATAGGTGTATATATCCAATGTGGAACTATTTCTTCACTTACTCATAATTGTTATATTATTCCAACACTCTCCCTCAAATATGAGTCCATAATACTCCCCAACTTGTACCTCCGTTGACATTTGTGTATTATTCCAACACTCTCCCTCAAGTGTGAGTAAACACCACTTCCTGGGCGTAGGAATATACATTTTTGTCCCTTTCTCGAACCAATACATAGTGTAGAAATATACATTTTTGTGAGAGACACATCACTTATCTACCTAAAACCTTAAAATGATAAGTATATGGGTTCTCTCACTTATATATGTTTAAGTCTCCACATTTCTATCCAATGTGGAATTATTTCTTCACTTACTCATAATTCTTATATTATTCTAACAAACACAACTATTCAAAACCTTTCCTTCTAAAATCTTTCAAAAATCAACTCTTAAACAGCCCCTAAAACCCTACATATTTTTCAAATATTTTATCATGGGAAACAAAAAGTATTTGTTGTTTGAGATATTAAAATTAAAATGTCAAATACTTGATAGTCGCATTTTGAATTTAAGAATGTACTATATTGTTCTCCAAACACGTGTTCCGTACGTAAAATTTTAATTGAGAATTTTGTAACAAGTTGTTTAGCAAAGGATAGATAAAGTTTAATTAAGAATTGTAATTAAAGAAGAAAACATATGGAAAGCAAGACAGCATGGCCCATACCTTACTAATTGCTGGAGGCTAAAAGAAAAAGACAGATCTAAAAGAAAGAAAAATCATAGTTAGTTATTGGTGGTACCCCATACATACTTAGTATAATAAATCCTTATCACAAATAAAAAACAATATATTTATGTTTTGAATGGTTTTTTATTTACATTTTCTCTCAAATACTTATTCACATCTATACTCATATAAATATTGAAATATAATATCGATATATAATATTAAATAAGATCACGTGCTTTGGTATCATGTAGTCTAAGTACAGCAAAAAATTTCAACCGTATATGAGTCATGACTTTGAATTTGAAGTTTGAAAAAAAAACCTAAATATAAATTATTTCGTCACATTTTTATTTTTATTCAATTAGCCGCCATTGAATATTTTAGCATTCAACACTTGCATGCTATGCGACAATTTGAAATGAATTCTGCAAAGATATGTATACAATATTTTTTATTTAATTTGATGTTTTGTTGAACAAAGGAATTTAAAAAAAGCACGTCTATTTTGGGTACATAAACGTTTTATTTAAATATATTTTTGGTGTTTTTATCCAAAAAGAAAATTAATATAGGTGAGCTGGGCTTAATAATTCACAATAAGCTAAAGTTAGAACAAAAGAAGATTAATATAGCTGAGCTGGGCGTAATAATTCACATTAAGCAAAAGTTAGAAGTTAGAACAAAAAAAGTTGATTAAATTAAAGGTTGAAGTTAAGAAAAAGTGCTTTGGGGAGAAACGAATCCGGGTCCATATGAAAACTAATATATTAATATGCTTAAAATACTAAAGAGAAAAGTGAAAGATATGAAAAATCTACTTATTGTGTAATTACTTTTCTAATTACCACCATTGACTTAAAATAGCAACTTATTACGAGTATTAGATTACTTGAATTAAAAATAAAATAAATAATATTTACTGAAAAATGTGTTTCATCTAAAGGGAAATGACTTTAAGTTAAAATCTTATTATTTTTAGATACTGTTTTATAATTTTCTTATTTTTTATTGATAAGATTTTTCTTATTTATCATATGATCTATTTTTATAATTCAAAAACTACAGTTCAGTGTAAGAAATTCCTAAACTTCAAATACAAATTCAAAGTATCTAGTAAAAAAAAGAGGTGTTTATAATTTTTTTTTGGCTGATTCACATAAAAAATTGACACTTATATCAATAGATTAGGCATCATAACAAAATTTATATTCGTTGGGATGCACTTGAGTCCGCCTTAAATTTATTGATTTTTTTTATATTTTAACTGTGTTTGAGTTTGAGTTTAGATTTTCTACAATTATAAAATATATGGATGACACTCTCATAGTTACAAATATAAGTTAATAAATTGCATCAACTTTTAATCATTAATCTGCATTTATAATTATGGTCGTCTCAATTTTTTGGAAGTCCTATATAGGTTAATCATGGTTCAACTATGATAAAATAATTAGAAGCTCTTTATAAGACCCTATATAGTTACGGTTTAACCGTAAAAATTTTGATAGTCCGTTTTGCACGCCTTCAAAGACGGTCCTGTTTATAATAGTATACAATCATTTTTATAATTTCAATTATAGTTAAGTAGTCATCTACCGGTGCATTTATACGGATCGCACAATATCTTTATAAATGATAAATAAATATATCACAGTGATGGTTAAAAAATATATATAAAAATCATTTTGTTATTAAAAAAACAAAAATTAATTAATTGAAAAAGAAATTAAAAAGTAATATGTTATTAAAAAATAAATTAATTATTAAAAAAATTGATTTTTATAGAAACAATATAATATGGTCAAAAGATTTTTCGTTCTATATTAAAACAAATTAAAGAAATATAATCAAAAGATTTCCCATTTTATATCAAAACAAATTTAAAAAATTAAATCAAATTAAATTTTATTAATTAAATAATTAATATTTATGTTTTGAAATTCAAAAATCAAAAGTATCAATGTTTGACAACTTTTATTATTGTAATTTGATACATAATGTTTAAAGAAAATATATAAAAATTGTTTGATAAAAATAATATTTTATTATTTTCATAATTTAGAGGATTTCATTATTTTAATTATTTTAATATATAATTTGTGTAAAAATTAAACAAAAATTTATGTTATTTATTAGATTTAAAATAAAAAATAAATTACCTTTAAAACAAATATTTCATAATTAACACATAAGATGATCCATTAAATATATGATTTTTAAAAGAAATTATAAAACAAAATCATATATAATTAATTAAATAACTTTTATAAAAATAATATAATAGATAGGGTCACAAGATTTCCCGTTTTAGATCAAAACAAATTTTAAAAAATCAAATCAAATTAAATTTCATTAATTAAAGAATCAATGTTTATGTTTTGAAATTCAAAAATCAAAATTATCAACGTTTAATAGAAAAATATACTCTTTAATAACAAAAACACCAACCAAATTATCTGGAATATAAAAAATTGTATTTCTTATTTTCTTAAATGTTTAATTTTATATCATCTTATAAATCCAATTCATTTTTTCACATAAATTTTTACTAAAAAAATTATTATTTTAATTTTTAATATCATTTATTATTTATAATTTTTAATATCACTTCTAACTGGTAAAACTTTCAACAAATATCAACTAAATTATTTTTGATTTTCAATATCTAGTTAAACCTGTCTCTAATGCCAAACTTTCGACTAATACAAATCCATTGATAAAAACTTTCGACTAACACAAATCTATTCATTAAATCTCATAAGTTCGTCTTTAATGCCAAACTTTCGACTAATACAAATCTATTGATCAAATTTCGTTAAGTCTGTCTTTTTGATTTGATCAAATTCATTCATTTACCTATTTAATATAATAGAACATGAAGGGTGCAAAAACAAAAAGTATAAAAAAAACTAATAGAATCAGACCTTAAATTAACACAAAAATATTATTTACTATTATTATATCTTTAACTAACATAAAAATATCATATCTTGAAATATTTTAATCAGACTTTAAGTTAACACAATAATATTATAATATTAAAACAAAATTATAAAATAATTCTGATTTTGAATTTCTGTTTCGACTGTGTTTGAGTTCGAGTTTGAATTTTTTTCAATTTTAAAATACATGAATGAGTCAAGTAACGAGGCACTAGAATTCACCCTAAACTTGCTCTTAAACGCGCTCTATAAATTTTATAATGTATTTTATTGTTTAATTTTGATAATTTAAAATATTAAATACGTGGTCAATCTTTTAAAATTTTGATTTGTTTTTATTATTTAAACTTATGTATGAAATATTTAAAAATATTTTATTTTATTATTTATAATATAATTTTATGTTAAAAAATAATTGTATTTAAAAAATTAATTTCAATGCTCACATGGCGGTGGATTAGAGATATCTGAATCTGTTTGAGACGAGTTCGCGTTTTAATTCTTCATCTCCGTTGAATATTGGAGCAGATAACAAAAATTGTTCGGAGATTTATATTTGAGTTAAGAGGAGGTGAAAAATGTCTTGATCCGTCCATTGCTATACTTACGATAGATGTTCTAATATATGATTGGATACAAAAAAAAAAAACATACATGTATATGGAGATAAAAGTTTTCTCTGGAACAAATAGTCTTTAAAACCGCTTTAAATAAATTGATCAAATATAAAAAAATAAAATAAAAACTCAAACAATCAACTTATTTTCATATCATTGAAGTTTGATATTTAAAAAAACATGAAAAATAGATGATTAAAAAAACAATAATCAAACTAAAAAGATATTATAAAATAAAGCTCCCATGGAGAAAAACAATCACCATAAGGACTTTGTTGTACAGAGTCAAAGAAGGGAATAGAGATGAACAAATCATAAAATAATAATTTGCAGAAAATAACTCCAATCTAACAACAAAACAACTCTCTCTTCATTTGAACCTTTGACAATTCAATAACCAAATTGTTTTTGTTTCTTAATCAAGAGTCACTCTCAAGAGGTGGCTGCTTTTAAACCTTGATAACCACTTTCAATCACACTCAAATTCTGTTTCCTCCTTCAAAATCTCTGTTTGAAACTTTGCACACCACATGCTTGTGATTTTCACACTTCAAAACCATCACTTCAGTAGCTGATTGAAGTAAAGATCAGTAATGGAGTTAACTCCAAGAGGAAGAAATCAAGGTCATGTTGTGACTTTTGACAGAGATGCAGATTCATTTGTGGAGGAAGATAAAGAGCTTCAATCTAAATGGGCTGCTATAGAGAAACTACCAACTTTCAAAAGGATTAAAACTTCTTTTGTTGATGAAATCACTCAGGAGGAAAGTGGTAGTAGATGGCAAAGAAGTAGTAGTAAAAGGGTTGTTGATGTTACTAAGCTTGGAGCTGTTGATAAGCGGTTGTTTATTGATAAGCTCATCAAGCATATTGAGAATGATAATCTTAATTTGTTGCAGAAACTTAGAGAAAGGATGGAAAGGTAATTTGTTTACACTGGACTAGATCATGCTGCAAATTTAGGGTTGACATTTTTGGTATCCAATTCTGGAAAATTGATTTTGAACTAGATTGGTTGACTTATTTGAGCTTATTTACTAACATAAACACTCATGAGACTGTTTGAGAGAGCTTATGAAAATAGCTTAAGACATGTCCACTAGATGTTTTTAGCTTATTTCCACAATAAATTCTCCGGAATAACTTGTATGGAAACAGTTTGACTTTGTTTTAACTGTTTTTATAGAAATAATTCATACATAAGCCCTTGTGTGATAACCACTTTTGTTTCATTTATGCCACTCATTTAAAAGAAGGAAGGGGTTATCTTTTCAGTTTATATTAGTGGATTATTTTGAAGAATTGACTTATATATTGGTTTGTTTTCAGAGTGAATGTGAAGTTACCTAGTGTGGAGGTAAGGTACAAGAACCTGAATGTAGAAGCGGAATGTGAGGTTGTTCAAGGGAAGCCACTTCCTACTCTATGGAATTCTTTTTCTAGCTTATTTTCAGTAAGTATGCTTCTTCCAATCCCTATTTATATTCACATGCACCCAACCTACATTTGTTACTGCCTCATCTTATTTGTACATGAAAACATGGCCTAATTTGTGATTTGAACAGGGTTTAGTGAAGACTATATCATGTAGTTCTCAAGAAACCAAGTTGGGCATTCTCAAAGATGTCAGCGGCGTCATCAAGCCAGCAAGGTAAGTGAACATTTTACAAGGATGCACTCATATTCACATTAATATTATATATTATATATGCTCAAGCACAAGCATTTGCAGTGTCTTTTAGAATTCGGTATTCACAATCACAAATCGAAAAGGACCCATTAAGACACACCGGCATGGATATGGTTATTCGATGGAAAAAGCAAAATGATGAAGCTTAAAATAAAAAACAGACCGGAGTGCTAAACTTTAACTCATCAAATATGGCTCTTAATGCAGGCTTACTCTTCTTCTTGGTCCACCTAGCTGCGGGAAAACTACCTTACTAATGGCATTGGCTGGAAAACTAGATCAATCTCTTGAGGTCAGTTTCTAAACCCAGTAATATAGAATAAAATTAATGTGCAAAGTCATTGAGTTTAAGTGTGTTTTTTTTAGCGTAACTCCAAAATCAATAAAGATTACACGTATTAATCGCTGTGATATCCTACCTTTTTACTTATCTTTAGGTTTCTGGAGAAATCTGTTACAACGGTCACAGGCTAGATGAATTTGTTCCTCAAAAAACATCAGCTTACATAAGCCAGTATGACCTTCACATTCCTGAGATGACAGTGAGGGAAACAATTGACTTCTCGGCACGTTGTCAGGGGGTCGGAAGCAGAGCTGGTAATCTTTCTTGCTTATTCAATCCTAGATTATACACATAATTTGTAACTAATACAATACCAGTAGGCATTCATACATATCCTTTGAATTTCAGATATTATGACTGAAATCACTAGGAAAGAAAAAGAACAAGGAATCTTCCCTGACCCGGATATTGATACTTATATGAAGGTAATTGTAGTATGGACAATTTATATGTCATGATTAGAAAGAAAAAAGTTGACAAAGAAAGTAACACAGACTTTTGCAGGCTATTTCTGTTGAAGGACAAAGCGAAAATCTTCAAACGGAATATGTTTTAAAGGTACATCTGCTTAAAGCAGGGTTGAGTTAGAGCGCAAAGTTACTCAATCGCTCACTTTAGATGTTTTCTATTCTTTTTAACACATGGATTCAAACTTTTGATATTGTAGATACTTGGATTGGATATCTGTGCTGACACTCTGGTCGGAGACGCACTAGATAGAGGCATTTCAGGTGGACAGAAGAAAAGGCTAACTACAGGTATCTTGAAAATTAAGTAATGTTTTCTTGTCATTTTGTTACTTTGAGAGTCCCACATTGGGTGAGATATAGCTTGAAAATGGGTTTACAAGTGAGAGACATCTATCACCTTACAAGTCTTATTTATAGAGCTGAGTTAGCCCAACTCAAATATGAAGGTAGTATTAGAGCTTATACAAGATCTGTTGGGCTTCATGCTATCAGCCTCTCAGGTCACGCTCCAAATATTCAATTTTGGGCATGAGGGTCTATGTTGAGAGTCCCACAATGCATGAGATGTGACTTGGTAATGTTTAAGCAACCATCACCTTAAAAGTCAGTTTTGTAAGATATAGTTAGGTCAAATTTTAAGAGTTGCAAAGAGGAAAATTCAAGAGTCGATGATCTCCTTAGAACTTGTAAGTACTTAAAGTACTTGCAAGTTACTTCTCTTGACTGAATATACACGAGAAGTGTTGCCTCTTTACTAGAGCAGTGAAAATTAAGGCTATATGATACTTGTGGTTGGACTGCAAAGATACGAAATATTCTTCATAGATATTTCTTCTTAATATATATACTCAATCTTTTTTTCCAAATCGTATTGCAGGAGAGATGATTGTAGGTCCCATAAAAGCACTTTTTATGGATGAAATATCAACTGGCTTAGACAGCTCCACTACTTTTCAAATAGTTACATGTCTCCAGCAATTGGTGCACATCAATGATGCAACAGCAGTGCTTTCACTCCTCCAACCAGCACCAGAAACCTTTGAGTTGTTTGATGATCTTATATTGATGGCAGAGGGGAAGATAGTATACCATGGCCCCTGCAGTCAAGCACTCCAGTTCTTTAAGGATTGCGGTTTCTGGTGCCCTGAAAGAAAAGGAGTGGCAGACTTTCTTCAAGAGGTAGGAATAGAAACTGTGTCCCTTACCATTGCGCCAAAGTTCAAGTGATTTTACTCATAGTTTCACGAATTACAAATTTCATGCGCGCGCAGGTAACCTCTAAGAAGGATCAAAGGCAATACTGGTACCGCACGGATATTCCTTACAGTTATGTTTCAGTGGACGAGTTCTCTCAAATTTTCAAAACAAGCTACTGGGGAAGAATGTTAGATGATGAGCTCTCACAACCATATGATAAATCTCAATCCCATGAAAGTTCTTTATCATATAGCAAGTACTCCTTAGGAAAATGGGATTTGTTTGAAGCTTGTATGAAGAGGGAGATTCTTCTCATGAAACGAAACTCGTTTATCTATATATTCAAAACTGTGCAGGTTACTATCAAATTCAAGTTCAATTCAACTCAGCTAAGTCGTACTTGAACATATAAAATCTAACTTGCTTCTTTTTCCGCTTGTTTTGCAGCTTACAATCACTGCAATCATAACAATGACGGTCTTTTTGCGCACACAACTTGACGTGGACTTGTTAGGATCAAACTATTTATTAGGTTCACTGTACTATACACTTGTACGCCTAATGACGAATGGAGTTGCCGAGTTGATAATGACTATTACTAGACTACCCGTTGTTTATAAGCAGAAAGCATTCTATCTCTATCCAGCTTGGGCTTACTGTCTTCCAGCTGCCATACTAAAGATTCCATTTTCAGTCCTTGATTCTCTTGTTTGGACATCAATAACATATTATGTTATAGGCTACAGCCCAGAAATAACAAGGTCTGTAACTCGTGTATATGTAAGTATAGTCAAACTTTTTCTCTTTTCTTTTGCAAGTTTTTTCTTATATATTTATTATTGAATCAGGTTCCTCCGCCAGTTCCTTTTGCTTATCGCTCTGCACATGTCATCAACCTCTATGTGTCGTTCCCTTGCTGCAGTTTTTAAAACTGATGTTGCAGCTACAACTGTTGGTTCTTTGGTCTTAGTACTCATGTTCTTGTTTGGAGGCTTTATTCTTCCTCGACGTAAGCCGCTTTATATCGTCTCAGTTATAACATGTGGTAGTACTAAATTACTAATTACCAAGTTACTCATCATGGAGTTTATTCTCTGCAGCATCATTACCAAAGTGGTTGAGGTGGGGTTTTTGGCTTTCTCCCATGTCATATGGGGAAATAGGAATAACACTCAATGAATTTCTTGCTCCTCGCTGGCAAAAGGTATCTTCTAAGATAATTTATTTGGTTTCATGATAGGTCACAATATACGTTTATATGGATCTAATTCATATACATTGTCAGGATGATGATTTTTTATATTGTCAATGAATCATAATCGGAAGATCATTACAAATGTTTGACGTTTATTCTAAATACTACTGAAGTCACGCATATAACTGGTTGTAATTTGTTTACAGTGTAAAACTTTTTACACAGACGGTGTATCAACATGAATCTCCAGTTATATATTTATATTTACTATCGTTATTTTCATCATCATTATTTTTCAGATTCAAGAGGGAAACATCACCGTTGGAAGAGAGGTTCTCAAGAGTCGTGGTTTAGACTTTGATAGCAACTTTTTCTGGATATCAATTGCAGCATTACTTGGTTTCGCAGTAGTATTTGATATCCTATTTGTAGTAGCATTAACTTACTTAAAAGGTGAGTCCTATCCATGATATTACAAGGAAAAATATCAAACAATTGTTTTTATTTTGCTCAATCCACTGATTTGATGGGAAATGCATTCAGAGCCAAAGCAATCTCGAGCTTTAGTTTCGAAAAAGAGGCTGCCTCAACTAAAAGGAGGAGAAAGAAGCAATGAAGTGGAGTTAAAAAATAAGTCAGTAGCAGTTGATATTACCCACACATCGAAGGAAGCTCAAAGCACAGGTAGAAAAGAGATACTTTATGGCAACTTATTTCACAGATGAATTCTTTCTTTCAAACATATAGTAACGACTTTTGGTATCTTTCGCATGGTTGGTTATGCAGGGAAAATGGTCTTGCCCTTTTTGCCACTGTCAATAGCATTTAAGGATGTCCAGTATTTTGTTGACACTCCTCCGGTAAATTTTATAATCACGTTATTGTTGTAATATGATTATGTAAATTGTTGACAAGGTTGTCAATTAAGAAATTTACTCTTCTTCTGAGCAGGAGATGAAAAAGCATGGTTCGAATGAGAAAAATTTACAATTGCTCTGCGATATCACGGGAGCATTTAGGCCAGGAATCCTTACTGCTTTGATGGGAGTCAGTGGAGCAGGAAAGACAACACTCATGGACGTGCTTTCAGGAAGAAAAACTGGAGGTATCATTGAAGGAGATATAAGAATTGGAGGGTACCCTAAAGTTCAAAAGACATTTGCAAGAGTTTCAGGTTACTGTGAGCAGAACGACATACATTCTCCATATATAACAGTTGAAGAATCTGTTCGATACTCAGCTTGGTTGCGGTTGCCAAGCGAGATTGATTCAGCTACAAAAGGGGTATGGGATTTGAACCGTGCTTTGTCTGTCATTTTCACATAAAAGATGCTTTTTGTAACTTTATGTGTGTATCTGTTCTGCAGAAATTTGTTGAAGAAGTCCTTGAAACAATTGAACTTGATGATATAAAGGATAACTTAGTTGGTATCGCTGGTCAAAGTGGCTTATCTACCGAGCAACGTAAAAGGCTAACTATAGCAGTAGAGCTTGTATCCAATCCTTCAATAATTTTTATGGATGAACCTACATCTGGTTTGGATGCCCGAGCTGCTGCTGTAGTTATGCGTGCAGTGAAGAATGTTGTTGGCACTGGTAGGACCACAGTTTGCACCATACATCAGCCAAGCATCGATATATTTGAAACTTTTGATGAGGTAGTCAATAGTACCTTCTGCTGTATATTTGTGTACGGATAACATACGGATCAACAAATAAAAATGAGTTTTTTTCATGCAGTTGATTCTAATGAAATCTGGAGGCAAGATCATTTATAATGGAATGCTAGGCCATCATTCAAATAGACTGATTGAATATTTTCAGGTATGCTCAGACCCGAAGCGAAGTACTCAGTGTTTTAGATTCTGGACAGATCCATGTGATTATCTTATTTGCTAAAGTTCTTTTCTTGCAATGTACATTCACAAAAAACTGTTCCTTAGCCATCACTCCTTTGCCTGAATTGTTGAAATTTATATCTAATTGACTTGACTGTCCATCAGAGTATACCGGGAATTCCAAAGATCAAGGACAATTATAATCCTGCAACCTGGATGTTGGAAGCTACTTCTGCATCTGTAGAAGATGAACTTAAAATAGATTTTGCAAATATATATAAAGAGTCGCACCTTCACCGGTGAGCATCGAGTTGGCTATCATTCATTTTCACAGAAAATACAAACAAAATCTTCTCTTTTTTTGTATTTTATGTGTAGTAACTGTTTCAGCTGTAATGATAATGACCAGTGATCAAGCATTTGAAAGAGCACTTATCTCATGTTTTGAATTACTATTTCTATTTCTAGGGATACCCTTGAATTGGTGAGACAGATAAGTGAACCAGAGCCAGGTTCAAAAGACTTGCATTTCTCAACTCGCTTCCCACAAAATAACTTGGGGCAGTTTATGGCATGCCTATGGAAGCAACACTTGTCCTATTGGAGAAGTCCCGAGTACAATTTGATACGATTTGTGTTCATGATTGTTGCAGCAATACTATTTGGGGCGGTATTTTGGCAGAAAGGGAAGGAAATGTAAGCTTGCTTTCGTATACCTACATATAATTTGCTCAGAAACCAAACTCGTTAATTTAAATCAGAAGAAAACATTTGTCCTTCCATGTTTCTTAGTGGTGTCATGATTCTAGAGTAATTTTTAACTCAAGTACTGACATGTGTTTTTTCTATGGTTAAAGAAACACTCAGCAGGACTTGTTCAATGTGTTTGGATCAATGTATATTGCTGTAATTTTCTTGGGAATAAATTACTGTTCAACAATTCTACCATATGTGGCAACCGAGCGCTCCGTCCTGTATCGAGAAAAATTTGCAGGAATGTATTCTTCCATGGCTTATTCATTTGCACAGGTATGATGCTGCTTAAAGCAAATTCAAGTGGTATTTATTTTATAGTAAAACCAATAATGTTATAATAATTTCTTTTTTAAAAGCAGGTGGCCATTGAAATACCATATATCTTAGTGCAAGCAATTTTATATGTGGCTATCACCTATCCAATGATAGGTTTCCATTGGTCAGTTCCGAAGCTCTTTTGGTACTTCTACACGACATTCTGCACATTTCTATACTTTGTGTATCTTGGAATGCTGGTAATGTCATTAAGCTTAAATCTAGATTTAGCTTCAGTACTATCAACTGCAGTCTACACCATATTCAATCTCTTTTCTGGATTCCTCATGCCAGGACCTGTAAGCCTCTCCTTGATCTCCACAAATTTCTTTTCATAATTTAGTCTTTATAGCATAATATTTAGGACCTGAAGTTGTGGCTTGATTTTGTTTGGATCGAACAGAATCATAGCTGCATCCTAAATAATATTTGTGTGCGCAGTTCTAATATGGCGAAGATTTTGTTAATTTTGTAAAAATTTAAGTTTGGCTAACCAAGGTTTGAATTTTGGAATGTGCAGAAAATTCCTAAATGGTGGGTTTGGTGCTATTGGATTTGCCCTACAGCTTGGTCCTTGAATGGCCTATTAACTTCACAATATGGAGATATGGACAAGGAAATACTCATATTTGGAGACAAAAAATCAGTTGGTTCCTTTCTAAAGGATTACTATGGATTCAGACATGACAGATTAAGTGTTGTGGCTGCGGTGCTCATTGCTTACCCAATCATCTACGCATCCCTCTTTGCCTATTGTATAGGGAAAATAAATTACCAAAAGAGGTAGAAACAGATATCACAGATGGCTTCTTCTGCAATGTGGTGGCTACAATTTTCATGTATAGAAATATAGGAATACAAGCTACATCATTGAGCAAAACCTCTTGCAATTGCTTATACATAATATACATTTTTGTTTTGTTTTTGGTAGTAAATGATGTAGATTGGGTTATTTTATCGTGTATTTTGGGGTTTCGGTTTGAAATTGTTCATTGTTTTAATTGTTGTTTTGGAATTTGATTTATAATGAATCATTTTATTGTAGTTTGGAATAGGAAAAATTCAGATTTGTTTAGCTTTATTGGATCTACAAACTTTGAGAAACTTTTATAATTATATGATATGCATTGTAATACTTCTAATGATAGTTTGATATACAAGTTTTGACATTAAGATTTGTCAAAACTCCTATACTGGTTAATCTTCAATATGATTTTGGAAATTGAAGGGCAAAACTGTCATGTAGGCAGCTGCAGCTTAATAGTTCTACTAGAAACCATGACACAAACATGATATAACAGTGCAATATGACATGAACACAGGGATATGATAGTTTCTAATACTACATATGACACAACATGAAAAGATAAACATATAATAAATACTTACATGCTCACTCAATAGTCAATACACTTAATAAACTTTTATACTTGTATCTACTTATCATGTAAAATACAACAAGGAATATTTGAAGTGTCTGTGGCATGGTGCGGCCGACATGATAAGTGCGCGGGTGGCTTTTTTTTATTAGTGTTTCTGCTTCTTTGGCTATAATACCATGATCCAGATATCTTACAATCATGTAAATTACCAAATGGAGCCCAACCAATAAATTTAACCTTCCAAATAGCTTCCTTGGCCAAGATGAGACGGGGTAAATGTAAGCATGAGCTCAACTTTGACACAGGACACTAGTAAAGCCAGTTATCAGCTCATGAACTCGATACACTAAAAATGCAGATGTTTAAATTTCCTCACTGTAAGTAAACTGGATGACAAAAATTAAATTCAACTTTACAACAAAGAACTAGTTAGGTAGGAAATGCAGACATTCATCATGAAAAATGAAGCTGGAGTGCAACTCAGCAACTAATCACTCCATCCACGCCAAAATGAAATTAAACAGCTGCTCAAGACACAGAGGAGATGAAGAATACATATGTATTAGCGGTCTGGACTAATAAAACAAATCAACTAAAGATTTCATCCTCGGGCTGGCTCAATATCTTATCGTCACCAGTTATCATCGTCTGCTTTTCCTGCTCCAAATAATATATCTTGTCATTCATACCCTCCTTTCTATATGCCTCGATCATGATTGAGTAAGTTGTGTCATCTGGTTGAGATTGGTTATCTTTCATTCGCGTGAAAACTCTCTCCATTTCCATCAAATCTTCCGCCTTTGCACATGCAGATAAGACTGCATTATAAAAGGCAGTGTTCACAGGTATCTCAAGCTTCGCAGCCAAGTGAACACTACTAATCACTTTATGGAAGAGCCCTGCATTTGCAAAACCATTGATAAGGCAGCAAAATGTCTTGGTGTCTGCTCTCATACCCTCCGAACGCATCTGATTAAATGTATACTCCATGTTTTTATCATCCCCTGCAACTGCAAATGCCTCAATCACATTGTTGTAAGTAGACGTGGTCCATGGAAATTGCAACTTCCGCATATACTCCATAACAGATGACATTTTGTCATACATTCTTTTCTTTCCATAGGAACCAATCAAGATATTAAAAGTGCGTGTTTCTGGTTCTATCCCGAAATTACGAAACTTTTCATACCATTTCTCCATCATTTCAACTTGACCCATATTACCAAAGACACTAATAATCGTATTCATGGTCCAAACATCAGGCTTGCAATCAGTGCTCTGCAGCATACTCGACAGAACTTTCTCCATCTGATCAAACATCCCTGCCTTGCCATAACCGTTCAAAACAATGTTCTGCGTGACAGTATTAGGCCTGATGCCTCTTTGAGCCATTTCTTCATACAGCAACTCAACCAATTCAAATTTGAAAGCATCCACACAGACTTTTACCAACGTACTGTAAGTGAAAACATCAGGCTGACAAAGAGGATGGTTCTTCATCTCATTAAGAATCGAAAAGGCCTCGTCAATCATGTTGCTCCTGCAATACGCAGCAAGCAATGCCGTGTATAGTTCAGGAGTAGGGTCACAACCCTCTTCAATCATTGTGGTAAAAAGCTGACGGGCACGGTGGGGTTGGCCTGATTTTCCAAGTAGCACAATGAGTTTCATGTAAGTCCCTTCTTTGGGTTGGTAAAAGGATTGTTCTTTGAGCATGTCAAATACCTGCACAAATGGATAAGTAATTTAACAAAGTAGAATCAATCATCCAAACTATACAATAACAACAATAATTAAACCTTACCCCGCTAAATGGGGTCAGCTACATAGATCAACTTTCGTCATAATATTTTATCCAGGACCATGCTTCTATCCAAATCGTTAATCTCGAGATCTTTCTTAATAACCTCTCTTATAGTCTTTTTACGTCTTCCTCTTCCTCTAGTTGTTTGACTTTTCTCCATTTGATCTACTCTCCTTACCACATAATCTACAAGCCTTCTCTCTGCATGCCCAAACCCCCTAAGTCTAATTCCCACCATCTTCTCTACTATAGGCTAGGCGCTACCCCAGCACTCTAATATTTTCATCTAAACTATACTAATAATTAGAAGTCGTATCAGATACAAATTGACTTATTTGAATTTATCTACTGACGTAAACATTTGGTACAAGCTTATGACAATGTCCATATGCTTATGAAAACAACATATATTATGAAAACAGTTTCACCTAATTTCATCTTTTCCTATAGAAATAGCTTATACGGATAAGTGATTATGCAATAAGCTTTAATTAAGCTGTTTATCCAAACATGACCCAACAGTGAAACATACAAAAATTAATGAAATAGACAGGAAAACTGGCGAGTCTATATACCTCAAGGGCTTGAAGCCACTGTTTCTTGTCCATGCGTTCAGATAAAGCTTCGGTAACAGTGTTAACCCAAGCCTTAGCATTGTTCTTTCTCTCCAATTTTTTCTTCAGATTCTTAATGGGGCCCCTCCTCGTGCTTCCCTCAGATTGGGAAAAACCCGGAAACTCGCCTTGTTTCCAGTGTTTCTTTTTGACAACTGAGGAGGAATTAGAAGCGGGTTTTGAGGGTGGAGGTGAAATTGCGCAATGGGTTATACGAAAGGTTGAAACTTGGGGTCTTGTGGGGGTTTTGGTGCATTTGGGTTGGGGAATTGGAGAGGGGACTATGGAAGAAGAGAAGGTGAGAGAGACGGAAGCCATATCCATAGTTTAGTGTAGGGTTTGATTACTCAGACAGCATTGAAGAATGATGATTTGAGATCAATTCATCAGTGGTGATGATATTTTTGCATTTTCATGCATAGGGTTGATTTTGAGGATTTAAATATATTTTCTCTATAAAAAATCTTAGAATAATCATCATAAGTTATCTATTTGAAAATATATATATGTCTTTCGATGCATCTAAAATAAATAGTTTGTTACTTGAAATGGGTAAATAAATTTAAAAAGTGTGTGAAATTATAATTTCGTCTCACTATTGTAAAAAGCAGAGATTAGATAAAATACATTGTTTTTCATATGAATTGACTTTTTATATTTTAGATCAAGATGAGTGTATTTGAATCGAGATGAACCTTAGTTATTTAGATCTTACGTCGGTTTTGAAAAGTTTCTCCAAAGCTTTATTGAGTACTTGAATGAGTCGGGAAAGTCTTTAGTGATTTGGTTAGCCTCTAGGATATTGTCTGGTGTGAGTTAGAGCTGAAATGTTTGGAATCAGTTGAAAGAGTGGTGGAGAATAAACACATTAAATGTGGCTCTATTATTGAAACGTTTCATAGCATTTTCTAACGCGCGTGGTGACATGTGTTGCGGTGAAAAATAGTAAACATACACATCACAAGTGTTAAAGGAGAAAGTTAACATACTTAGTGTTCTGGACTGGGCCCACCCTGGCCCAAAGCGCAGATAAAGGCCCAATCCAAGCAAACTCCTCGAGGAATGCGCACCCGCGGATCACCGCCGACGTGCCCGGCCACAGACTGTAGCCATGATGCCCGCCTTTGCCCGCGACACATAGCGTCCCCGACCAAGGGAACTCCAGCTCGAGTCCTGCTCGAGCACTCTCCCCGTAGGGCAGATTCTGTCCTCTCTGACCGTTATCGAATCCTCTAAACTCCAGAAAGACCGCGTCTTCGTCCCTCCTCATTCTTCGCAGAGCACCACCAGGAAGGGGACCACGTGCGGGGCCCCACTACGTACGTAGAACCTGGCAGTTCCTTTATTGGGCCAGTTCTGGCCAGTCCAATGAGGGGACCTTGGCCCAGCGCTAGGGGCTATAAATACCCTCTGTTCCTAGAGGGTCAGGTATTCATTTTACGCACTTATACATCATTTTGCCTGCTCATTATGTCTCTCATTTTAGCATCGGAGTGTCTTGCAGGTACCCCCCCGTCTCACTTAAATTCTGCTCGAGCCAGTCGCGACGGTCAAGATCTGATCCGGTAAGATCAGTGGCGCTGTCTGTGGGAAACTAGCTTCCCCGTCTTACAAACTCTCGAAGACCAAAGCTCAAAATCACCTCCCACTGTCATGGCTGACCAAGTTCGGGATGACCAGAACGTCCGCGTCGTCGACGTCAACAACAACCTCGCGGATAAAAATGGAATTCTAGACAACGCCGGCAACCCCGACCATAGCACACTCCCCGGGAGCACCATCCCCGGGCCCTTGGTCCACCGTGACGGAGCTACTGCCTCATCTTCTTCAGCCCCTCCGCCACTCGAAGAAGACAATACGGCTCCCCAAACTATCTAGCTGCCCAATTTCAGGAAGTCCCTGTTCCCGCCGGGGCAGATGCCACGACCAGAGCACTGTTCGCGGCAATCAATCAAACCAACTACCTTATCTTTGCCCATGGGGAAAG